AGATAACATACAGAAGGAAAAACCACTCCCAAACTGTGTCCAACAAAGAAATAACATCTAGAATCTACAAGAAACTCAACTCAGCAAGAAAAAAGCAAACGATCTCCCTTCAAAAGTTGGCAAAATACATTAACAGGCATTTTTCAAAAGAAGATATACAAATGGCCAACAAACATATGAAAAAATGCTTAATATCACTAATCAGCAGGGTAATGCAAATTAAAACCACAGTGAGGTACTATCTTACTCAGATTAGAATGACCATTATTAAAAAATCAAAACCAATAGATATTGTCATCAATGTGGTGACAAGGGAACACTTATACAGTGTTGGTAGGAATATAAATTAGTACAACCTCTGTGGAGAGCAGCATGGAGATTTCTCAAAGTACTGAAAGTAGATCTACTATTTGATCCTGCAGTCCCACTACTGGGTATCTACCCAGAGGAAAAGATACTATTATATTGAAAAGATATCTGCACTCATATGTTTATCACCAGCACAATTCATAATTGTAAAGATAAGGAACCAACCTAAGAGCACATCCCTCGATGAGTAGATGTGCTCATCAAAAGAAAATGTGGTATATAATAGAGTGCTAATTGGCAGTAAAAAAAAAAAGTAAAATAATAGCTTTGCAGTAATTTGTATGGAATTGGAGGGTATCATCTTAATGAAGTAATTCAAGAATAGAGAAATAAATACCACATATTTTAGCTCCTAGAAATAGGACCTAAACTATGGCTTACACAAGGGCACAAAGGGTGGTATAATGGACACTGGATACTCACAAGGGGAGGGAAGAAGGTGGAGGATGAAAAATTACTTATGTACTCTACTTGGAAGATGGGTACACCAAAAGCTCAGACTCTACTTCTCCACAATATACTGTGTATACATGTAATGGAATTCAACTTGTACCCCCTAGATCTATTAAAATAAAAAGAAACGAAAAAACCAATTACATGTATAGTTATGCTAATTCCTTTACTACAAAAGGAATAAAATACTTAGGAATGAACTTTACTAATGAAGCAAAAGACTTGTATACAATGTTGAGGAAAGAAATTAAGGAATATACCAATCAAAGGAAAGACGTCTTGTGTTCATGGATTAGAAGATGTAATACTGTTAAGACATCAATACTAAATGACCTATAGATTCAATGCAATATTGCCTTATCAAAATTCCAACAGTCTTTTCTGCAGAAATAGAAAAATCCATGCTAAGATTCATATGTAATACCAAGGGATCTGGAATAGCTAATACCATCTTGAAAAGGAAGTACTAAGCTAAAAGTTTCACAGTCCCTGATTTCAAACTTAGTACAAGGCTACAGCAATTGAAACAATATTGTATTAGCATAATGACAGACATATTCAACAGTGAAATAAAACAGCTTAGAAATAAAGTTTCACATATATGGTCAAATGATTTTCAACAAGAGTACTGAGATCATTCAATGGGAAAAGATAATCTTCAATAAATAGTACTGGGAAAACTGGATACACACATGAAAAAAGAAGGAAGTTGGATACTTATATAATGTACAAAAATTAATTTAAAATGAACCAAAGACCTACATGTAATTGCTAAAACTATAAAATTATTTAAAAGAAAATATAGGAGAAAAGCTTCATGACATTGGATTTGGCAATAATTTCTTGAATATGAAAACAAAAGCACAGATGACACAACAACAACAACAAAAATAGATAAGTTGGACTAAATCAGAATCAAAACTTTCTGTGCATCAAAGGACACAGTCAACATAATGAAAAGGCAACCAAGGGACTTGGAAAAAGTATTTACAAATCATATAGCTGATAAGTAGTTAATCTTCAGAATATATAAGAACTCCTACAACTCAGCAATAACTAAAATAAACAACTTGATTAAAAATGAATGAAGGACTTGAATAGACATTTCTCCAAAGAAGATATACAAATGGCCAATAAGCATGAATGTTATTCAGCCTTAACGGGTAGAAAATTATAACACATGCCTCAACATGCATGAACCTTGAAGACATCACCCTAACTAAAGCAAGATACTCACAAAAGGACATATATTGTATAATTCCACTTACATGAAGTACCCATAACAGTCAAATTCATAGAGAGAGAAAGTACAATGATGATTGCCAGGGGTTGGGGGAGGAAGAATGGGGAGTTATTTTTAATGGTTGCAGTGTTTCAGTTTTGTAATAAGAAAAGAAATCTAGAGATGAACAGAGTTCTGGTGGTGGTTGCACAACAATGTGAATGTACTTAATGCTGCTGAACCACACACTCAGAAAATGGTTAAGATGGTGACTTTTATGTATCTGAATTTTGCTACAACTGAAAAAACAAATAGGCTTAAAAAAATCAGCTGAACAAATAGTGGTTGCAGCTGAACTTTTTAAAAACCTACCTTCTGCTCAAACACAAATCCTAATGATACCAAATGCAGCTTACTTGTATGCCAGAGCTCCAGCAAAGTGCTTCTGGATATAGGTGTCCATCACAGGTCGAAAGTGAAAATACTTGATGTCTCGGAGCAGGTTGATGATGAATACCTGGGAGAGATGAAATGTAGGTCACTAGGGTTCATTGGAGGTTTCAGATCTATCACTAGCAAGAAAACAGACTTTTGCTTCTTCAAGGAATGGCAAACTATCAGTGTTTTCTCTAGTGTTTTCCATAGGTAGGGAATGTGAGATTTCTATTATGTACCTGTATTTCTGTCTTTTTTTCTTCCTAACACTCTGGTCTCCTAATATAGATCTGGAGCTCATCAGCCTGTGTCTGTATTATTCGGAGTCTTTCCCTTCACAATAATGATGGGTGGTATAACAAACAGTATCTGGATAGATGGCATAAACAATAAAGTATCCCCAAAAACTTGGAAAAGGGGGAAAAAAAGATTGCCTTCTGAGCTAAATCAACCTATGAAAGGCTGTGCCCTTGACAAATGGGGCTGGTGGACAGGGCAGTAGGGAAGAAGAAAAGCCAGAGGGGCAAGTGCCCATTCCAATTCTCACTTCTGTTCCTTGTCTATCACATATTCTGTATTGTCTGACTCTCCTTGAATATATGGCCTCCGCTGTGGAAGTGGAAAATGCACTAAATATTCAAATCACTGGCCAATTTCATTAACTTTCTGAGACTCTGTTTCTGAAACAATTTTATAAAGGGAAAGGATCTTCAGAGACCTCTGGTATTGCACAGATCTCTAGAGACCAGCATGAGAAAGACTCTGTTTTTCCTAGGGGTTACATTCTACTTTGTAAATGAAAAAATGGGCCATCTGCTTTCCTCTACAATGTATTAGACCCCCATGATGCATTGCTCATGGAAGTCATTATTTTAGGGACCAGGCAACACTGAAATAGTGATAAGCTAAAGGATCTAGAACTGTAAAGCTAAGGTCTACACCTGACCATGTTGAATCTTTCAAATTTGATCACAGGAGGATCTACCTGGTAGCCTGGTCCTCCTTAAATGATATTCTTTTTTTTTTTTT